ACTTTAGGAAAATTGTTGATACCAAAATCGTTTTTAAATTTTATAATTAAGTTTGATTAATTTTCTATCAAATTTCGAGCAAAAATTTTTGGATAAAATATGGCCTGGATTCAAGGCTATTATTTTAATTTATGAAGTTTATATATCATTCGAATCAGCTCTCCAATCTGATTCGAATGACGTCAAAATCAGGCGTCTATCAAATAAATGGACCGAGATATGGCTCACTGAATGATAAATTAAACAAATTTTGGCAAATACAAATTTTTTGTGTGAAATTTTCAAAAATGAGATTATTAGCTATTTCGATACGCCTGAACGAGATAAGTCGATTGGTACCAAAATTATTCGGATTGGATGATTTTGAACAAAGTTATGATCAATTAAACTTTGACATGAAAAATCCATTTTTACCCGTTTTTATGTTCGGACTCGTTTTTAATTGATATCCGCAAACAAAATGTTTATTATTTGGTACCAATAGATTTCCTAAAGTGTTAGGTGTAAAACAAAAAAAGAATTATCAATTTTCGATTAAAATTAAAAAAGTTATAGCCAAAACAAAGTCGGCGCTAAATTTGCCGCACCCTGTACTTATTATTTACTTGTTTAAATAAATGCCAAACAAATAAAATTTAATTTACGCCGCCAATTTTATAAAATTATATTTAAATAAAATTATTATTTATTTGAAATAAAAGGGAAAAAAGTAAAGTGAAAGTGAGGTAAAAATGTATAAAATGTGAAAAAAATGAAGGAAATTATTAGACTAAATAGTTATGTACTTTTATGTTTGTATTTGATGTATGTAAATTTTTGTTAAATAAATGGACAGATTTTTAGTTTTTGGTCTCTCATATTGAGATTAATTCTTTATTTTTGTATCTGAAAATCCTTTGAAAAAAAGCTGTGAAAAAATTAGAATTTTGAGAATTAAATCTTGGAGATGCCAGTTTATAAAAAATAATGGGACAAGAGGACTCTCCTCTTTCTCAAGTATCTTTTCAATCGCAAGGCTTGCGCGATTTTTATGTAACTTATATAAATTAATTAATTAAATTGCTTTTCTTTTTTATTTTTTTAATATATAAATTTAAATAAATTAAAGGAAATTCTGCATTAACTTTTTTATCCTTTAAATTAAGCTACCGTATTTACTCGATTAATTCCCCCGGGGAATTATTTTTTCGACCCATCCGTGGCATGGGGAATTAATAAAGTGTGGGGAATTATTCGAGTTTTGAAATTTGAACGTGTATTAGGGTTTTTGGGGGTGGGGAATTATTGTTTCAACTCATCCCTGGCATGGGGAATTAATAGAGGGTGGGGAATTATACGAGGGTGGGGAATTAATCGAGTAAATACGGTATATACTTCATAAATTTGCTAATTTTCTATTACCTTTTCTGTAGAATACTTTTATTCTTTTTCTGTTAAAGCCGGAAAACTACACGGTATAAAACTGTCTACTTTAATTTGTAATATCTAGTAGAGATTTTTCACAAAATTCTGGATCTGGATTTAGGTTAGTAATCTGGACAGGATTCTTGATCTAGATTCAGAAAAATCCACAAAAATCAAAAAATGCCTGGACTCTGGATCCAGGAAGAATTCAGACTGGATCCAGATCCAGACCGACCTCTAATACCTAACCCTTTCTCGGCCAAAATTCCGCCTTAACGCCGAATTTCCCGTTAACTTTTCTTGGTCATCTTTTTATCTCCTTCTCTGTTTAGTTACCTAGTTTATTCTGATAATATTTGTTATTTAATATTTCTTTATTTATTATTTTTATTAACCAAAAATCTTTACTATATTTACAGTAGCATTTAAATTAAACATTAAATAAAATATATTTTTAAATATTTACTCAACAATTTTCAATGCATTTTTAAATTTTCTTTAAACAAAATCTTGGCTCACTTTTCTTCTTTTCATTTTCGCCCTTTAAATATTTAATTTTTTTTTATTTTTAATATATTTTAGTGGCATTAAAAAGCTACGAGAAATTTTAGAGTATTAATTCTTAAAAAGGAATACTGTTAGTATTATTATAATTTAAATATATTTTATATTAATGTTAACTTTATAGAAAAGACAATCTTGCAAAGAAGTTTTTAATTAAATCTATGATATAGTATTTTGTAAAATTTGGCGGTATAACCTTTCAGTTCCTAAAGTTTTTTAAGCTCATGGACCTCACATTTTTAAGGTACACCATAGCAAGATCCGACGTAGGTATTCGTATATTTTATAATAATATGGAATTCTGGCTTTTTAGACTTTTAACAAACGTGCCCTAGAACGTTGAAAAAATTGCCTGCGGTGCTGAAAATCTGAAATTCTGGTGACTTAGACATCGGAAAACCTAAAAAATTTTTGATTTTTTGCTTATTTAATAAGTGCGAGTAAGTACGGGGTACTGGTATGAAGTACGTGGCCAAAACGTGGTAGTATGAGGTACTTGCACGAGCAAATCTGAAATTTTCGAAGCACTATTTTCAATCTTATATAATTGTAATCTACAGTTAATTCTCTCCTTTTTAACAGTAAAATAAACATTTTTCTCTCCCTTCCTTCCCTCCCCCTCATCACCCCATCACAAAAATAATGCCAATTTTTTCATTCATGCAATGCTAATTTTCTTTTAAAAAAATATATTTTATTTGAAGCGCCAAAAACAACAAAAAATTATTTGTTGCGTGACTGCACACAATGACTGCCTTATAATATATTCATTTATTTATTTTATATTTTTTTACATTAAATATATATAAACACCTCTTAATCAAGTGACAACTTTAAAAAAATTTTTTTTTCAATTTTATGCATTTTATATACAAAAAGTTTTTTTTATATTTTTGAAATGCCAAAGGGGAATTATGAGAAAATGAAATTGTTTATGTTTATTTATTTGTCTAGATTTTTTTATAAAAATATTTTTTGTCATTTCTTCAAAATTATATACTGTAAAATAATTTATTTGACAAAAAGCATAAATTAAGGCTGCCTAAGTAAGAAAATATTAATATTTTGCCACAGAATAGGATTCCTTATGATCACGGGACTTAGAAATTTGCCTTTTAAAAACCTTGGATTCCTGAAGGATTTTAATTAGAGATTGGACCAATACGAGATCTTTGAACAAAAATCTCTTTGTCGAGATAGATATTTTGGTACATATTTGGCCCCCAGTCCGACTACCTTTTATTTTTCCTCGATAAAAATTGAATGGTTAGCCTTCCTTCCTTTTTTTGTGATCTCGATTGAGCCTCTCAGTCCGGTCTCTAATTCTAATCGTTCTATTCATAAACAAACCCCCTATTAAAACTCGATCAAACCTAAGATTACACTCCATTCTAACTCCATTCTAATTCTTTAATTTACCTCATTTAGCAAGAAAACATTTTTCCCTCAAACGTAAATTGAGGATAATATGTATGTATATTTATTTATATTTAATGATATATTTATCTTTCGATGATATTTAATTTATAGTTCCTTCCAAAATCAACTTTTACTACTTTGGCATTTTTTGGGATTAAATAAAATAGTATGTAGTATATGTAATTTAAATGTTATAAAAGTAATAAAATATATTTGTATTTGGAATGGTATTTAAAAAATTTTATTTTTAATTTTTTAAAAGATTATTTATTTTTTTGTGGACTTTGAAGTTAAAAATTCTTTAAATTATTTGGAGTGTTTATTATACCCTATGTTTATTTTAGAGTTAGGAAAATCAAATGCTTTAATTAAATATTTAGGATTTGATTGCTAATTCTGGCAAAATCAAATATTTTTCAAATTTAAATTATTTACTAATTAGAACTTTTTAATTTTTCCTCTTTTATTAAAAACTCCTCCTAATTAAAATTATGTAAAATTTCAATTTTTAACTTTTGTGCAATTTTATACTCTACTCTAAATACATACGTACACACCCAATACTAAATAAACTTATTTTCTATATTTAAAAGTTGTTTCATCCCCCCCCCCCCAATATAATAGCCAACAAATCCAAAAATTTTATCCAAAATTCTTTTAAATTTTTTTATAATTTAGATTTTTTCTTAAACTCATTAATTATAACTCTATTTAATCTTTTAAACAAACACATATAGTCGTCATTATCTTTTTTTTCCAATTAATTGTTTATTTAAATTGCACTTAATGGTCATTGAATTAAATTAAAAAATAATTTAAAAGTACGGTATTTAATAAATTAAAATAATTAGTATTTAAATAATTGGGGGAGGGAGGGAGGAGAATATATTTTGTAAAATTTTTTTTCAACAATTTTTGTGATAACATTATTTAAATACAAATTATAAATTTATAAAGCAAAACTTTAACAGTTCAAATTAAAAAAATTTTTTAAGTAAAAAGTGCAAATAAAATAATAAAATAATTAGTTTAACTCCTTTTTTAAATTAAATTTTTATAAAATTTAATTAAATATTTTTTGAAATTTTTATTTAATTTGTAAATTATTTTTTATTATATATACATAATCATATTTTTTATGCTCGCATTTTCTTTTCTCATTTCTCCTTTTTTAATTTTTATCTTAAACCATGAAAGTTTATGTTGGTGAGCCACCAACTTCTGCAAATTAGTATAACCAATGGCAATGTTTGACGTACATTTATCTTTCAGGGAATAAAGAGCTATATTTCCACAATATCTGATTATAGGTTATAAAATACAGAGCTTGGTAATAAAGCAATTCGCAATTTTTCACTAGAACATAATTTTAATTTTTGACTATTTTTTAAAAATAATTATGAGAAGTAAGAAAAACAGGAAAATTTGGGCATTTAAATTAAAAGTACCAGTTATTTGAATAAAATTTCTAAATATTTTTAAAATTTATTTTTAAATTAAATTATGCTTATGAAATATTTTAATAGTGCAAAATTAGTACTTATTGTTATTATACATTATTTTTAAGTTTCTGTTTTTAAGTTTTTTTTATTTTTAAGTTTCTGAATTTAAAAAATGCCAAATTCTCCGTCCAAAATTAACGAATCAACAACATCAAATCAACAACAAATTCCAAATAAAATTAATTTTTCTCCTTTGAATGAGGAAAATGAAAGAATTACAAATTCTTTATCCCCTCCAGAAAATAATAAAAATATTATTTTAAATAATAATTCTGGTACATCTCCTCCACATTTAAAAGAAGAAGAAGACTCTTCTCCCCCTCCACATTTGGTATATTTAAATTATATTTAAATATTTGTTGTTAAAAATAATTTATATTCATTCGAAATTATAATGAAGAATTTTAGAAATAAAGGCAGTCGTCCCCTTTTGAGGAATTCTCATATTTAGGGTTGCCAAAATGGACCGTCTCGGACCGAAAGATCGAGTAGGGCCTAAGATATTGAAAAACGTGACTCGTACTGGCCCGAAGCGATAAAAACAAGCCTGAAAAATGTCTCGACCGTCGGCCCGACTCGAAAATGGCAACCCTACTCGCTATTATTAATTGCCCATAAATAGATTTAGGAGGCTTCTTTCACAAATTTAGACAAGGCTTCCATTCTTTTAAAATATATTTCAATATTTATTAATTTAGATAGCCATAGCTTCTTCATCCAGAACCTCAACAGAAGCTATCGAACAACAACAACAAAATAATTCTTTAGAAGAAACCTTCCTTCCTTCTTCCTCTTCATCAAATAAAAATTCTTTTAACCTTCCAAACTCACAAATAATTAATAATTTTAATGAATCTACAACAACAACTGCTTTTATGTTACTTCAACAGCTTGTGGCTGCCCAACAACAACAACAAGTAAATACCTAATTTTAATTTAAAAAAAAAACTAAATATTTAATTAAAATTTTCATATTTAAAATGAGGTTTAAACTTGAGTTATGCAAAAACGAAAATTTTGATATTTATTGCCAAAAATTGACAATTTTAATGCAATTTTAAAACCCGAAAATTTTTGAAAATGAGTTAATAGTTTAAAAAAATTTTTCGAAAATAAAGCCGGTATCCAATTAAAATTCAAAATCAGAAATACCAATGTGCAAAGTCCTAGTTTAACCTTTACATACATTCAAAAACAAAATTTGAATAAAAATTAAAAGTTTTTGTAAAATAAAAAAAATGCTCAAAATTATTTAATTTCTTCAAAAAAAATCATTTTAAAAATACAAAAACATATTTTTAAATTTATTTATTTTTCTCTACCAAAAAATAATCTCTTAAAAATAAAATATTTTATTTATTTTAAATTTATTTAAATTTCTAAATTTTTTCTCTCTTTCTAAATTAAATAAAAGTACATAAAATAAATAATTTGTGTAAACAATTTAATAAAAGTATTTTTATGTACTCTTTATTTATTTCACCCAAAAATAATTCTTTTTTTTATTTTCATTTTTGGTCTTTTTACACGCAACTCTCTCTTCTTTTTTAATTTTTAAATTGAACTTTTTGTGTTTATAAAAAATAATTTTTTAAATTTAAATTATTTACTTTAAAAGAATTATTTAATAAAACCTAAAAATCGAAAAGAAATTCTTTAGACACCCTTAATTAAAAGAAGAATTTAATTATTAGGAAAAGGGGTTATTTATTTTCTGTGAAGTTAACGGACATATGTAAATTGGATCATTGGATTTAATTTTAAAAATCCGTTGGTTGTTCCGGGAGACGATGCCGGGAATAGGCAAATGTAAAATACAAGGAAGGCCTTTCTATGCTAATGGGTAACAATACCGACTAGATAAATCCCTAATATTTAATATAGTCTCATAATTTTATACCTAAATGTTTAATAAATTATACAATTTTTGAAAAAGGATTTATTCGGAAATTATGGGGAGCTTCCTGACAATACACTTAAAAAATAATATTTTTTTAAAAATTTTTTAAATTTCCAATTTTCTATTTTTATCTAAATAAATAAATAAATCTATTTTTAATAAACAATTGTTTCAAAAAAATTTTTTATTTAAATTATTAGTCATTTATTTAAAGTGCTTTTTAAAAAAATTTTTTTTATTTACTCAGACAATTTATTAATTTAATTTTAGAAAAAAGACAAAAAAAGCACTTTATTTGGGAAATAATAAAATTAAAATATATTTTTATTTGTTTGTGTGAAAGTAAGAGAGAGGGAGAATAATAAATAAATAATTATTTTTTAATTTTTTTTTGGAAATAAAGGGAAGAAAAAATTTATTTTAAGTTAAAGCTAATTAAATAAAAAAAATATTTTTAAAAAAAAAGAGGAGGACATAGAGCATTCTTTTAAATTTAAAATAACCTTTTAAATATTTTATTTTATTTAAAGGGCATAAATAAAAAATATTTATTTTTTATTTTAAAAATATTTTTTTATCCCTTTTTTAAATAAAAATATATATTAAATAATTATTAAATATATAGATTTTATTTAATCAATTATAGAGAGAATTTCTTAATTATTTTTATTTTTCTTTAAATTTTTTCTTTTTAAAAATTTTAAAAATAAAAAATTTTTGTTTAAAATTTATTTTTTATTTTTTAATAAATCTTTAAAAAAATTTTTCTTAGAACAACCACCACCAAATTTCAAAAAACCAACAAAAACAACAAATGCAAATTTTGGGAACATTTTTCCCTTCAATTAATACTTCCTCCCTTCCCCCACAATTACAACAACAACAACAAACAATTGAAGATAATAATTCTTTGAATAATTCTGTTGAAGGAGGAGGTATTGTTTGTGGAACAATTAGAAAAGATGATGAAGAAATGGATGAATTTAACAATGAAGAAATCCTTCCTCCAACAACAACAAATCAACAGCAACAACGTAGAGCTTCTGTTCTTTCATTAAATTCTTCAAAAACCCCCTCAAATATTCGTCACCGTTTACTTTCCTATGATGGCCATATTTCTTCTTTAAATATTGCAAAAAAACAAAATACTAATCAACAATTAATTCCTTCAAATAATTTTTTATTTGGAGGGCAACATCAACAACAAACATCTTTCTCCTCCTCAAAATCTATTCGTTCACAGAGAGCCCCAATAAAAGAAATTATTAGTTTAGATGATCCAAATGAATTGGAAAAGGTGTTTTGAGAATAAATTTTGAGTAAAAAATAAATTTAAAATTAATTTAAAGTTTATGTCTAAAGGGGAAGAACAATGCATTCAAGATATGCGAACATTTATAACTCAATTTTCCCTTCGCCAAACAACTGTGGCTTTAATGACTGGTAAATATTTTTAAATTTTGATTTTTAGAATGTTTTTAAAGGTGTTTCACAACCATATATTTCTAAATTGTTAAATGGAAATCATCGAGAATTGTCACTTCGTTGTCGAAAGGTGATTAAATATTTAAGGGAATTAAGTAGGTGTTGTTATCTGTGCTTGAAATACCAACATTAGACAGGATATATTAAATGATTCTTAAGATTCCTAAAACTCTATCCATTCTGATTTTAAGTTAATCCTTTACAAAATCCAAAATTTCTTCGATTTTAGCTATCTTTGCTGTCATAAATTTTTTTATCAAAACTTATAAATAAATTTTTAGCAAAGTTAAAAAATAAATAAGATCTTAATTTAAAAAATACCTTTATTATCAGAACGTTAAATAATAAATACGAGCCTTTGATTTAATTTTAAAACAAATATATTTAGAACATTTATTGTTGGTATTTAAATTGTCGCCGACATCCAGAAAAGTTGGCAATATTTGTTCAAGACCATCCATCGAGTAGATTGGACACTACAGCTGAGGGGGAACTAGTGCCGCAAAGAAGGGAACGTTATGTTTTTAGACCTGTGCTTTTAAGAATTTTGGATGCTTATTTTCAGGTAGTTAAATAATTTTGGAGGGAAAGATTAAATTATTTTTTAATATTTTAACACAACATTAATTTTATATAATTAGTTAGATATAAGAAAATCTTGAATAAAATAAAGAATTTTTAGAATTTTAAATCGAATTCCCATTAGTAGTTACACAAATTGTCGCCTATAAAGTAAATTCGCTATTAAGAGTAGTCGCTTATAATGAGAGTTAATTGTAGATAAAATAGAGGGTTTTTACTAAAGTATTTTATATAAAATAGAGGAAGGCTGTTTTTTAAATTTAAAAAATTTATTCTTAGGAAAGTCCATTCCCCGACACTTCAAAACGTATGGAAATTGCAAATGCTTGTAATGCTCATTTACAATTGGATAAAAAAAGTTTTAGAAAATTGATTTAATTTAAAAGTTAAATGATAATTAAAAAAGGTACTCAATTAATGCCAAAGGAAGTAGTTACTCCCCAAGTTGTTGCTAATTGGTTTGCTAATAAACGAAAAGAAATGCGTAGACGAACAAATAGAGGTGGAGGAGGGAATAATGGAAAGAATAAAATAAAAAATACTTCAAAAACAACAAATAATCAAGTAAAATTTTAAATTAAATAAATAATTTAATTAAAATTAATATTTTAACCCAAAGAACCTTTTTGCTAATTTTTTTCTTTTTCTTAATGTTCTGATTCTGTCCCGTTTCTACATAGTTTCTGTTAGGGGAGACTGGTTCCATTACTAATTTCTATTTTTTTGAATTGCGTTTTTTGTTTGTTTGACCCTTACCCGAGACTCTGGGGTTTGATTTATTGACCTGGGCCGGACCTGGGCCTGTACTCCAGGAAAAACCCAGGAAGGTCTAAGATGCCTGGGGACTCTGGGTTCAGGAAAAACCCAGGTTTTGGTCCAGGTCTACATAGCTCGATCTCTATTATTTACCTCCACAAACCTTTCTACCACAAACCTTCTATTCCCTTAGAAAATATTTCTTTGAGGAAAGAAGGAGAAACTTTTTAAAAATCATAATTAGATTTAAATATATTTTTAAAAATATTTTTCCAAATTTTTTTCTGTTTTCTTTTAATAAATTTTAAAAATAAATTTACAAAATATTTTTTAAAGGTTGGAGGAAGCGGTTGTGGTATTTCTTCTTCAACAGCCTCATATTCCTCTGCTTCCTCTACTTCCTTTTCCCCTACACCTCCAAATTCTGCATCATTTATTAATAAATCTTTTAATGGAAATTTTTTGGAGGTAATTGAAATTGAAATTGAAAATTAATTAATTTAAAATTAAAAAAGGATATACAAAATACTAACCAACAACAATTAATTAACAACAATACAGTCGAAGACCTTTTAATGCTTGCTAGTCAACAACAACAACAACAACAACAATTATTATTACTCCCTCAACTATTGTTAATGCAACAAAAAGTAAATTAAATTAAATTAATTATTTAATAATTATTATTCAAAACTTTAAAAAATAATGTTACGATTCTCCAAAAAATGAATTTTTAATTTTTAAAAAAAAATCGGAAGATAAACTTCCTTCAGAATTTATTTGTTAGTAAAAAATACATTGGATATCACTTGAGACCTAATTTTATCACTTGAAAAATAATTTTTTATTTCACCTAACCTAATACCTAATTATCACCTAATAACTTAATTTACCTAATTTAAATCTAATCTAACCTAATTTACCTAATCCTCTTAATCTTCTCAAGTGCATAAATACTGATTTTTAAAATGGAATTAAATTTAAAAATATTCTTTTGCTTTAATTTTTTGTATTTTAACTTACTTAAAGATTAATTTAAAGGTTAACAACAACAATAATCATTTATTACCTTTAACTCCAACACCTTCTTCCCCTTTATTTTCATCATTAGAACAACAACCACAAAATACTAATTTAATATCCCCAACATTATTAGAACAATTTATTTTACTTCAACAACAACAACAAACATCAAATGCAACAACTACAAATATTGGAATCAACAACAACAATGCTAATAGTCAAACTGTTTTTCCTTTCTTTAAGGTAAATAATTAATTAATTTTTAAATTTTTCGTCAGAACAGCATTCTCCACTCAGTAGCCAAATAACTCATAATAAAATCGAGTGTGGATATATACCTAATATTAAGGATATACATATGTGTATATTTTCCGTTAATTATTAGAGATCGGAAAAATAAAAAATTTAAATTAAAAACATATTTGATTTTTCATATCTTTACTCAAAAAATCTCTCTTAATTATTATATTTAGATTCCATATTTAAAAAATTAATTTTAAGAATATCCACCACCACCACCAACAACAACACCCCCAATTAATTTCTTCCTCCTTAAATCAGCAAACTACAACTTCTCCTCCTCCTCCACCAACAAATATTTCTGATTTAGCTGCTTTACATACTGCCAAATTATTAGAAAATTCAGCGGCAATAGTTGCACAAAATCCCCAATTATTAGCTCGTTTACTTGAATATTCATGAGACGAAGAGAAAATATTGAGAGAATATTTTTTAGGAATTTTTGTTTTAAAAATTAAATTAAAATATTTTTTTGTATTTTATAAATATTTTTTAAAAGAAAAAAAGTAAATGCTCTAATTAAACATTAGATATACTTTTTAAGAAGTATTCTAATTTTAAAAACTCTTCGAAATTCGTCCAAATTTTTGAAAGATTTATTTTTATAAATATTTCTCTCTTAAAATTATGGTGGGTTGTTCGAAATCAAAGAACTGAGAATTGTGGTCATCTAAAGATTTTCCAAGCACCAAGACACCAACCCTACTTAGAATTATTTTAAATATTTCTGTTATTTTCTTTGGTTTACTCGAGTTTTTCCCTCAAAACTTTTTTTGTTTCTCTATTAAGGTTGGCGGATCCGGATATCCGGAAATTTACGGTTTGGATACCGGATCCGGATATCCGAAAATTTCAAACTATCCGCCAACCTTATTCTCAATCTCACCCTTTAAATAATCTTTCCTAAAAGAGCATTTACTTTTTTTTATTTTTCTTTCCTTTTTTTTTACCGGTTAATTTTCCAAATTTTATATATTTTTTTAAAATCTTTCCTTTCTTTCCTTTCCTCTTTAAGTTCAAAATTCACCTCCAAAAATTGTTTAAATTTCTTTAAATATTTTTTAGATTTATTTTAGAATTTATTTTATTACCTCTATTTTTCTTTTTCCTATTTTTCCTTTCAATTTTATATTTTTATGCACAATCTGTTAAAAATTATTTTTTAATTAATAAATAATTTGTAAAATTATTTTTTAAAGTTTTTTTAACAATTTGAATTTTAAGAATAAACTAGTTTTATAATTAAATATTAGTTAAATATACAGTGAGAAGGGAATGTTTATTGTAAAAAAATTTTTCTATTATACTAAAGGAGCATTCTGCGCAGATCGTTGAATATACACTTCTTGTCAAGTTTTGATATTTTGCTCCTCAAACCGATGCTCTGGGGCCTGTTTCAATTGTCTACAGATTCTGCATTCTGCGCAGATCGCAGAATCTGCGGACATTTGAAACAGGCCCTTGGTATTTTACTGACAATATTTCTCCTCTTCTATTTAATAAATGTCTTTAATTTTAGTCAGGCTTTATTCGATTTCTGATTATTTTCGATGTCAATATTTAATTGAAACGTTTTAAATTCTAGCAAAGCTTGTGGATATCTTGTAGTTTTTTTTAATTTTTTCCTTTACTTTTATTTTCTTTTCATTTAAATTTACCACCCGCGTAAACAGCCATTTTTCCCCTTCGTTTCATTCGGAAGTAAAAAATTTTTTTATTAAAATTTTTTTGCTTTTTTGCACTAAATTACGTCATTTTCTTAGACTCATTTTAAAATATTTTCTTTTTAATTATTTTACTAATACAAAAATATTTTTTTAATTAAAAACAAATTTTAATGAGAAAATAAAGCTGTCCTTTAACTAAAATTTTTATTTTAGATAATAGGTAAACAAAATATTTTTTTGTCCGAGAGGGGTTAGACAGAAAATGTCTGTCTTACCTTATTCAAATTATTATTAAAATAATTACTCTATTTTTTAAATTAATTTTAAAAAGTTTAAAAGTACTTATCGAAAAAAACAATTTAATTTTAAAAATATCTAACAGAATTAGATTGTCCAAAAACCTTTTAAAAAGCTGCCTACCGTATATACTCGAATAATTACCCTCTTTAATAATTACCCCCTCATTTTCCTACACAAATCCTAAATATATTGAAAAAGTTTTTTAATCAATATCAAAAACTAATTCAATTCCCTCCTCGATTCAGCACCTCCTCTCGAATAATTACTCCCTACAGCGAGAGGTCGAAACAATAATTACCTAGGGTAATTATTCGATCATATACTGTATTTGTTATTTTGGAATAAACATTTTTTATTTTTAATTAAATTAATTCTTAATTATATTTTATTTTTTAAATATTTTTCACTTATATTTTCAGAAAATCTTTTTAAAAAAATTTTTGGCACTATATGAAAGGAGGTCGATAATCGTTTTTTTCATTACTTTTTTCATTAACTTTTTTCCTTCCTTAATTATAAATAATGGTCAGTCTTTTCTTTCTCGTTCACTTCCACTCTTTTTACCTGTGGCATATTCAAATGAGGACAGACAAAAACACACACGGACAGACAAAACTCGAGTTTTGTCTGTCCGTCTTCGTCCGTGTTTTGTCTGTCTGTTTCCGTCCGTGTTGGATCTGAACCGTCTTCGTCCGTGTTGGCGTTGTTCGAGTACGTCCGAGTTCTGTCTGTCCGAGTCGGCATGAAAAGAAAACAGGAGACTTTTGTGTCTCTTTCATTTCTTTTGATTATGCCACAGGCAATATAATGGAATTGAACAAGGAGTAAAATGCTGACCATTCTGTAATATCAAGGAAGGAAAAAAGTAATAGAAAAAGTAATGAAAAAAACGATTATCGACCTCCTTTCATATAGTGCCAAATTTTTTAAAGTTTTCTCCTATAATTTTTAATTTTTTAATATTAATTTTCCCTAAATAAATAAATATATTTATTAATACTTTAAAATAAAAATTTAAAGTTTATATATTTCCATTTTAAGCATTTAGCAAGTAAAAAATCTTTCAAACAATAAACCATAAATAAAGCAAAAATTTATAGTTAAAAAAAATTTTTTTAAATGTCATCATTGAAATGCTAAAAATATTTTATATTTTTTTGTAGTTTTTGAGAAAAATAAAAATAAATATATCCATTTTTAAATAAATATGGGTAAACTTTTTATTTTCTTTTTAATATCTTTTTTCCCTTTTTCTTTCTGCAAAAAATTTCAATTTAAAAAATTATTTAAAATTTAATTTAATTCTCTCTATATATTTTTTAAATTAATAAACAATTTATTTTTTACCAAACCTCGCTATAACGTCATTTCTAGGGGTAGAAAAAATCTAAGAGTGACTGGGTGCCATGTAACTGAAAGTTACAGGCACTCTCTCCAGTAACTAACCAAATATTGTATACATATGTAAAATTGTATTTCGATGTTCCTTAACGAGATGAGAAGATTGGTACCAAAATCACTGGGATTGAATCATTTTGAATGAAGTTATAACTAAACTTAACTAAACTTAAACTTAGTTATAACTAAACTTATTATAACTAAACATAACTAAACCAGATGTTCGGATTCGTTTTTCCTTCCTATTTTTGGACCAAATTTTTTGAATTTGGTATCAATAATTTTCCTAAAGTGTCAGGAATCCAGCAAAAAAAAAGAAGAATTACCAATTTTCTTTTAAAATAAAAAAAGTTATGACCAAAACAAAATTGACCGCTAATTTGCCCATCTTTTACTTTAATGTGAGGGTGACATACAAGTAGGTGCCATTATAGTATTGAGGGTCGACTTGAAGTAAATTTATATAAAAAACAGCACAATTGACACCTTCTTTAACTCGTTTGTTTTCCTTTGGGAATTTTAAAAAGCAATCCTTCCCTCTTTAATATAAATATACTACTTCCTTTTTTTCCACCCACACTATATGTATGTATATTTGTTGACTTTTTTTAAATTTCTAGTATTTCTCTAAAATTAAATTTATATATTTTCTTCCATTTTTTTGTCAATTTTTTTTAATTTTAAATATTTTTTTTAAATTTATCTTTTAACTTTGAAGCTGTTTGATTTGCTTATTTATGTACTAACAAATATATTGTATTAAAATATAATTAGGTAATAATCCACCCCTCGCTTCCCCCCTCCCTCATTAATAATCCAACCCTCTCTCCCCTCTCATTTAACTTTTTTAGTTAATTAGAATTTTAAATTCTCATTTAAGGCTTTATTTAAGAACTATTAAAGATAACTGACAATCAAACCGTTTGGCAATAATATTTTGCCAGAAAGGGATGTTTATTCGATTCCTATCCAAACTTTAGACTTTATTCAAAAATTAATTTTATTTTTTAAAACCTATTTTTAGGCTTTTTCTTTTAAATAAAATCAATTCTCGACTTTTAATATTTGCAACTTTCTTTTCGCACTAAACTTGTGCCTTTTTTTACTTCCTTTTTTTACCCACATACTTCTATTTTTACTTTATTTATTTATTTATCATTTCCTGTTCTTCCCAAATAAATAAAATTATTTTTTTTTATTTAATAAAAAATTTTTTGTTGAAAAATTTGTTTCTTTTCTTTTTTATTAAAAATTATTTTTGACAATCTTTGAATTTTTATGTAACTTTTTTTACAGTCTTTGAACCTTTGATTTTACTTTAACCAAAATCCGAAAAAGTTTTTTAATTAAAAATAATTTTATGTATTTTATTGTTATTTATTAGTGAATCAAAAAAGAAGACGCTTTTTTGGAGAGTAATTTTAAAAATAGTTCTAATTTACTCAGAATCTATAGCTACAGGTCCTGGTACATCATGCTTTAGCTTTTCTTATATTGCAATTTTTTAAAAATATTTTTAATTTAGTCGGAATCTATAGCAGTTACAAGTCTTTGTACATTCTTTAGCTTTTTTTATATTCCATTTTTAAACCTTCAAACAATTTTACAAAGGCCACATAAATAACTTTTTCTGAACCACAATGGTCATGAGTCCCAAAATTTATATGATCTTAAAATTATCCGCTCTGATCGTTTTACTCCTTTTTTAGGAGGAAAGGAAGTTTGGAGTGTACAAAACAAAAAATGTACCTAAAATATATACTCTTTAATCTTCTCTACTTTTTTTCTAAATTTAATTTGCAAGTTTTTTTACTCAAAAAAGATTTTTGGTCTTTCTTCTTTTTCATGACAATTTTTAAAGTAAAAAGAATGCTTGAAGGGATATATTTTATAAATTATTTATTTATTAAATAAATATTTTTTTCAATTTTTTGTTTAAAAATTTTTTTTCCAAGAATATATTTTCTTTTTTTCCTTTTTTGCATATCATCAATCAATTCTTTTTTTTATAAATCTTTTTTTGTTTTTTTATTCACTCAAAATTGCATGTCAATCTTTAATTTACATAAAAGAAAAAATTTTTTGTTAAGAAAGTGTCATTTTTTGATTATATTTTTTGTTGCCCTTCTTTTTTTACATATTAATAAAGTGTGAGGGAGAGAGAGAATATTTTTGACTTTTTTGTGTTGATTTTCTTAAAAATTAAAAAAATTTTTATTTTTACCTACTTTATACTTAATAGGTATTTTTATAAAATGGTCAGCTGATTTTGTCTAGTAATTTTAAGTTTTTTTTTGTTTTAATTTTAGTAATCATTTATGTATATTCTAAGAATTAATAAAATTATTTAAAATAATATCTAATTTATTCTTTAAAGAGATTTCTGGTTTAAAAATTTTTTTTAAATTATTTGACGATTTTCTTAAAAAAATATATAAAAACAAAATTGTTAGTTATATACCTAAATAAGTAGATATTTAGTATTTTTTAAAAGAATTTATAAGAAAAGTAAAATGAAAGGAAAATAGAAAAATTACTAACAAATTAACGAAAAAATGAGGGTGTGAAAAAATTGAAGGGGGGAAGGAAGGGGAGGTAAAAGGGGGAGAAGAAGCCTTTTAGCCTTTTTTAGAAAATTAGAAAGGATATATCCTTTAAAGAAAAGTTATTATTAAATATTTGGTATTGAATAAATACTATACTCTAATTTTTATCCTCTCAAACATTAACTAACAAAATAAATTTATAAATTATTTAAATTTTCTTTTTTTTTCTAGAAAATATTTTTACATTTTTAAAATTAATTTATTTATTATTTATTTAATTTAAGGTTTTTAATTTAACACATATGTATAAAAACTCTCCTTTTTTCTCCGAATTAAATTTTTAAATAAATTCTGATTTATTTTTCTGATTAATTATTGTAAAACAAAGAAGATAACCTCCTTCCTTTTCAGGCTTTTAAAAAATCCAAATTAACACTTTAAATTATGAAATTTTTTAGAGACATTTGCAATAGTGTTATCTTATATTTAATCAAATATTTAAAGATTTTTGTTTATTTATTTTTAAAATTATTGGAATTAATTGTGACAATTTTGAGGAAATTTTTATGTTTTTTTTATTTTTTTGTTTATAATTTTTTAAATAATTTAAAAATTTTTGAAGATTTTTGGACAAATTACCTAACAAATTATATTTTTACAAAAAATTTATTTTCTTTTTTCTGTTATTTTTTGGCAATTTTATTTTTCCAAAAAACTTTTATTTACTTCTTTCCTTTCTTTTTTATCCTTCTCCAATTTCATTAAAAAAAAAACAATTTTCTCATCAAAAGATTTACTAAAATTGATTAATTACTTAAATGGACAGATAAATAAATTGAAACTTTTTTTTCTCAAAAAAATAACAATTTATTTTGTCTACTTTTTTAGCAATACTTTGTGACATTTTTATGTTTTTACGGACCTTTGCTTTTTCCCTTTAAAAAGAATTTTAAAAAACAACCCTAACTTTTTGTTGGCTTTTTATTTTGATATATTTAATTTAAAAATTTTTATTTAACCACCTTCTTATGATACGGGCCCTGGTAGCTCAGTGGTGGAGCATTTGTACGTGGTGAGCGAAAACGCCTAGCAATACCTGCCACGAGGTCGCAGGATAAGCCTGCCCGTGATAATTAAAACTTTTATATCGCTCTTACTATTTTTAATTTAGTTTCTAGACATCTAAAAGTGAAGACATCATTTTCCCTTCTCTAAAAAATCAAAGGATTAATTAATTATTTTTTTTTGGTTTTTAACAAATTCTACAAATTAATTCATAATTTTAACTTGTTTTTAAATATTTTTGATTTTTAATATAAAAAAAATTTTTTTTATAAATTTTTAAGTAAAAGCTTTTGTTTTATTTTATTTTTCCACCCACAAAAGTTTATTTAAAAAAACTTTTATTTTAATTTATTTTATTGTTTCTAGTCCATTAATTTTCCCATTTTTAGAAATTTAAAAAAAAAATTATTTTATTTGAATAAAATTAAAAGGAAAAAATTAAAAGTATTTTCAATAAAAAAATTTTTTTAGGTAATTAATTTTTTTTGATTAAAACCGAAAATGTTTTTAGAATAGAAGAGATGTTTAAACTTTGAAATAATTACTTGTTATTTTTTTAAATTAAAAATACTTAAAGCAGGGCTTCGATCTCGAATTTTTAAAAATCCTCAATTTTGATCGAAAAAATCCTCATTTTATATGAAAAATCCGCAAAAAATTATCAAATGCAAAAATTGAATTAAAATCACTTTTGCGTTATATTTTTTGACTCCAACAATTAAATTGAGCAGTTTTTTTCACTACTAATGACTATTTTATTAAAATCCGGACAATTAAAGGAAAAATTATGTTGACTTGAGCCAGGCCCGTAGCCAGGATTTTTTCGGGGGATGGGGGGAGCCAAGGGGGAAACTTTTTCTATGCCAAATTTTTGTCGCCTTCGACGTGAAAAATTTTTATTTTCATCGACACAGGCAAAAATTTTGAGAATTTTAGATGGCTGTAGGCCAAAAAAATAAACTTTTTAGCTCCGCAGGCAAAAATTTTTTTTAATTTTGGAGCTCAAGAAACTAGATTTCATACATTTTCAGCGCGCAGGCAAAAATTTTGCGGATTTTGGAAGGCCATGAAGACAAAAAATGACTTTTTTCCTAAAAACTACAAGAAAATACAAAAAATCCTTATAATCTTCAAAAGGCCACAAAAATCCGCAAATCCGCATTTTAAAAAAAAACTTTTTCTATGCTTTTTAAAACTTTTTCCCCATAATTTTCAAAAGGCCACAAAAATCCGCAAATCCGCATTTTTAAAAATAATCCTCATCGCCCTATCAAAAAACCACAAAATGAGGAAAAATCCGCAGAAATCGAAGCCCTGACTTAAAATACCCATACAAATCAGGGATCGCGCCGACCCGATTCACGATTCCCAAAAATTGTGAATTTCCGACGATTTTTGGCTCGTGAGTTCACAATTTACGAAAATCGGGAATTTGGTTTTCTGTCGCCGCGATCCCTACCATACCTATTAAAAATTAAATTTTAATTTTCTATAAAAATTTTTTATTATTTTTTGCCATATCGTGATTTAATTTTACTTTTATTTTTACTTTAATGTTTCAATTTTTTAATTAAAAAATACTTATTATTTAAATATTTATTTATTCCCCCCCCCCCCCCCCCCCCAGCACTTTTCCCTTCTGAATAAATAATTTCATGCCAACAAAAACGAAACAAAACTAAAAAAGAGGGGAAATGCGCAATCGTGCGAGTCTTGTTTATGATTATTTTATTTTTTAGGTAAAAATTCCATTTGTTCATTTTTTGTTATTTTAAATTGTTTGGGGAGGGTAATTTATTGGCGCAGATTTAAAGTATAAAATAAAATTTTAATTTCAAAATTTTTATTTAATCAGAATTTTAAAAATCAGATATTAATTTTAAGGGTAACTTTATTAATTCTTATAATCACCAAAATTCTGATTATAATTTTGTTTATCTTATTTTTTTAATTTTTACTTTCAAGTTTATTTAAAACTCTAATTTTTCAATTCTGAAATATTAAATCAAAAATTCTGAAAATTTATCAAATAAAATCCCTGCGCCTAGACAACCCCCAATCCAACACAAATATTTAAGTAAATCTCTATCTACTATATAATATTAAATTATTTCCGGTAAAATCTTTTTTTCTCCCAAGGGATTTTGACTAAAAACTAATTTTATTTTTATATATTCTTTTCAAATAATTTAGTTATTCCACTATTTGTGTGTGCCCCATATGTTGACAATAATGAGAGAAGAAAAAGAAAATTTTTTATTTTATTTTCAATTTGTATATTTTGTTAAAACAATAAATATATTTGAATGAAACGAATTATTTTTTTATTTTTCTATTGGATTAGAAAATTAAACCATAGAAAATTTTGGATTTTATTTTAACTATATTCTGTTAGTTTAAAAACAGAAACAGACTGCTTTCTTTATTTTCAGAATTAATTTAATTTAAAATTCTGATACTTTAATTCTGATAATTTAAATTCTGAAAATTCTGATTTTTTTATTTCAAGTTTATTTATTTTCCATAAATTAAATTAAATTCTGATTTAATTTAATTTAAAATTCTGATATTAAATTATTAAAGTTTATTCAGTAAATTCTGATTTCAAGTTTATTTAATATTAATTCTGGTTTCTTAACTTTTCATTTAAATTACTTTCTTATATTTACCAGAATTCTGATTTTAAAATTATTTATTTTAAAGTTTATTATCTTTTCAGATTTTTTAAATTACTTCTGATTTTCCGTCCATTTTTAAATTCTGTTTTTCTATTTATTTTATTTTTAATTGCTATGAAAACCCACTACGTTGTAATAAGTGACGAACATTCTAAATTATTTGGTCATCGAATATTAAATTCTCAACTTTCTCTTTATCTTGGATTGGTTAATTAATTAATTTAGAAAAAAATATTTTTAAATTAATTAATTTTTAGGTCCAATTACTTGTTTGTATTTGGGCACTTTCCCAACATATTTGGGCTATGTTTACCTTAAAAGAAGTAAAAAATAATTTTAATATTTTTAAATATTTATTTAAAGATTTTACATTGTGATTTTTCTGATAATTCAACACTCCCTCCAATGTTTACGAGAGTTGATGCGGTTACTCTTTAAATTTTAAAATAAATTTATTTTTCTTCAACAGATTATTTATGATATTGGCCTTTTTCATCACCTTTGGGGTATTACTGGGTGTGTTGCTCAACATTTGGATGGGGGATATGGTAATTTAATTAATTCTGAAAATTAATTCTGATTTTAATTCCAAGCTTATTATATAAAAATTCTGATTTTTTTGTAATATAAATTTCTGATTTAAAATTCTGATTAGTTTAAATTTATTAAAATATTCATTAATTATTCAAAAATTCAATTTTATTCTAAAAATTTATTTTTTTTAAAAAGGTCGTTTTTGTTGGTGTATAGCCCATATATTAGCTTTACTTGTTTGTTTACCTTTTGCTTTTTCATCACGTCCCCGTCCGTATTTCTTATGGCCTTTATTAATACAACAAAGTGCTTACGGGGTTGGGATGCTTATTTTGAGGTATTTGGAAATTAAATTAATTAATTTATTTTTCTAAAAGTTTGGCTGCATTCCCCAAAGCTGCTCAATTAATTGGGGATTTACAAAATGCTCCAATACGCCCTTTAATTTTTTATACTTTTGGAACTTTAATGAATTTCTTTTTGGTAAAAAATAATTTTTTTTTAAATAAATTTAATAAAAATTATTTAGCTTTATGTTTACTGGCATTGGTATTGGTAAGTCTAATTAAAAATTCTGATTTCAAGTTTATTTAAAATTCTGACTTTTTAAAGGCATGTAGAAACCCTTTGGAATTCTGCCCGTAAATTAAAAAGAGGAGAAACTTTAAATAAAAATAATAATCGAAGACCTTTTCGACGTGCTTCCCCTGTCGGAGAAAATATATTAGTAAATAATGGAAATTTATATTCTAATAGTATTTCAACACAACAAGGAATGCCTCAAATATTAAATGGAAATTTAAATAATGGAGGTAAAGGGAATATTTTAAAATTTGAATAAAGGGGTAGAGTACCTTTAAGTAATCATAAATTAGCCAAATTAAGACATAGAAGCCTGAATTTTTATTTGAATATAATTAATATTGTTATCTAACACTCCTCAAAATTTAAGAATTTTTGGTTTATTATTTAACAAGCTATGGACAAAAAGTTTAAATTATCAAAATTCTTTATGGTTTGACCTTAGTTTCAATCATACCAACTGAGAAATATTAAACCAAAAATTATAAATTTTGTTTTAAAAGTGGTTAACATTATAGAGAATATTTGTGTAGAATTTCCTAATTATTAGTTTACTTTTTCTTTATTTTTAAATTTTTTATTTACTTAAATTACCTTCTTCAATGGAGAAAATATAGGTACTAATAAATAATGAAAATTTAAAAAAAAATAAAAATATTTTTTAAATTTGATTTTATAATAATATCCAAAAAATATCTATTATTAGATGAAAATAAAAAACAGACAAGCGTTTCTATATTAAATGGAAATCACACAATAACTTTACCTATTACAAAAATTCAACAACAAAAACCGCCCAAAATTTCACAAAATAATCATCAGAATCATTCAAAGAAAAATCAGAATAATTTGTCTTTTGATTCTGACATTTCTTTGCCTAGTACTGTTAGGTAGGTAATTAATTAATTAATTTTTAAATTAATTTTTGAATTTTAATTTTAAGTACAACATCAACAATAGCACAACAACAACAACAATTACCCTTTTCTGAATTATTTTCTACTCAACAACCTTATTCAAAGGTTTAAAAAATTATATAAAATATAAAAAAATTTGGATTTAAATTAAATAATTTGGCTTGACTAAATTTAAAAGTCTATAGCCGCAGATGTTCCCTCCAAGACTAGCAAATAAAACAAAAATTAAAACAACTAGTCGTTGTGGGATGGTTAAGCACCTTCCATCGGAGAGCTCTCAACTCTCACCTTCTTCTCAGAGCTCTCAAAGCTCTCACCTTCTCTCAGCTCTCAGAGCTCTCTTAGTTCCTTTCTATTTTTTTCTATTTTTACGCTACTATAGATATACCTTTCCCACTTCTTCTGGGACAACCTCCTCGCTTCCTCTCCTTTTTATTCTAAAAAAATTCTAATAAATTTTTTTATCAATTTAAAGAAATATTATTCATTATCATCTTCCTCCTTACCTCCATTAATTTCTTCAGCACCTTCAAATAAAAATCAACAACAACAACAACAAAATCGTCGTTTAACAGCAACAGAAACCCAATTTTATTTAAATAAACAAAATATCCAATTACCTCCAAGAGTTTTACATTTACGTAAACAAGAACGTTTTGGACTTCCAAAAGCTAAAAATTCCTTAGAAGAAAATTTTTGTAATAATAAATTTCGAGAAAAAAGTATTAGAAGAGCAAGTAGTGGAAATTACAATAATGATATATTACAGAGACAATATGGGGTAGATAATGAAGTAAATAATGAGAAAAATGTAAAAAATTAAATTTTTTTATTTTTAAAATGGTTAAAAAGAAATTTGAAAATTTCTAAGAAATTGAAAAAAAATTATTTTCAAACGTTCCCAAGAAGATGACATCGCTACTTAGAGGCTTATGAAATTCCTAAACCTTTATACCCTTCCAATTGTTACTCCCTTGTGTTAACTATCTCCTCTAAAATTTTCAAAATCTTTTGTTTCATAACTCTATCTCTCTCTCCCTTACCATAATTTCTTAATTATATTACCAAAAGATTCTGAAATTTTTAGAAATATTAAATAAAATTATTAGGAATATTTATACTTAATTTTTGGTTGTATAGGGTTATCTCCTGTATTTTTATAACAACTTATAGTAACTACATTGTTGTTACTCCTGAAATAAATTTTAATTTTCAGAATTTATTTTAATTTAAAATTACTTAAAAAAATAATTTTAAATCCAATTTATTTCAGTTATTAACAAGAACTTCACTTCCCAACGGAGATTTATTAATTGAAAATATTAATAAAAATTCAAAAAATTCTTCAAATTTAATTCAAACTGGACAAAAACAATTAAATAAAATTAAACTTCCAACACAAAAAATTTATGAAATAAATTATGGACAAAAAAGAAGAAAAGATTTTGAAATTAATGGAAAAAGAATATCTTCACAATTACCTTTAAATGGTTAATTTTAAAAAAAATTTCTTTATTTAAATTTTACTTTTCAAATAAAAAATTTTTATTAAAAAAATATTCTCCTCACAGTGGAACTCCTAAATCCTTATATTAATTTAGAAAATAATGAGGTCACTCCATTAGCAACAACCTTTTTCATATAATAGATGAGATCATAAATTTCTTACACTCTTAAGACTTAATTAAAAAATTCTTGTTGTGACCAGGTTATATGTAGCAAGGATGGATAATTTTGAATTTTAAAAAGCGGAAGGGCCAGAAAAACGAATTCGGCGCAAGGTGGAATCGGAAGAAAATCTAATATTGTTATATAGCTTATTGCAAGGATTAGTCAAGACAGTTAATCAAAACCAATATGTGAGGTTTTTCCGGCAACAATTCCTCAATATCCCCTGTCATTATTAACTATAACAAATTATTTTAAACTTATATAAAATCCAATCTCTCTTTTTATTTTAGATAATCCAATTAATCACTTCAATAACCTAACTCCATTACTTACAACTCGTTGTTCACTTCCAATAATTGAACCAAAAATACAAAATTCTCAACAAAAGCAAATTTTATTAAATCAAAAAACATTAATTAATGTTCGTTAATAATTATTTAATTTTCCAAAAAAAATTTTTTTCTTCCAATTTAGCCTTCAATAAATACCCAAAATAATTCTCAAATATTCCCAACTTATTTAAATAATTCTTCAATGTTTAACTCTTATAATGAAAATTTAATAGAAAATTCTGTTTGGAATTTTCGACAAAAAGAACATTTAAATTTTTATCTAAATAATGATGGAGAAGAGGAAGAGGGTTTTCATTCAATTATTTAAAGTTAAACTTTATATTAAATTTTAGACGTGGCGTAGTTTAACAATTAATTAGTTGGACTTATAGAAATGAAATATTAAGAAAAATAAAACCCATTATGTTTTTATGTTTAATTTAAATTACGATCTCAAATTAAAATTCTAAATATTAATTTTTTAAAATTAATTCCTACGATATACCACAAAAAACTTTAGTAGTCTGAATATATCTCCAAGAACTTCATATTGTTTTAAAAAATTAGATTATATTCGCCTACATTACTTAACTTACTTTGGAAAAAATTGCATCGTATAAAATTTAATTTTAAATTAAAAAATCAGAAACTAAGAAATACATTTTTTAAAAATATATTGATAAAATATTTATTAGAAAATATTTTTTTAGGAAAATAATTTTAAAGAAGAAAAACTTTTTTTAAAATTTATTTCTTAGTTTCTCATTTTTTAAATTAAAATTAAATTTTATTCGATCCAATTTTTTTCCAAAATTTTTTTTACAAATTCCTGATAAAATATTTTTTTAGGAAAATAATTTTAAAGAAGAAAAACTTTTTTTAAGATTTATTTCTTAGTTTCTCATTTTTTAAATTAAAATTAAATTTTATTCGATCCAATTTTTTTCCAAAATTTTTTTTACAAATTCCTGATAAAATATTTTTTTAGGAAAATAATTTTAAAGAAGAAAAACTTTTTTTAAGATTTATTTCTTAGTTTCTCATTTTTTAAATTAAAATTAAATTTTATTCGATCCAATTTTTTTCCAAAATTTTTTTTACAAATTCCTGATAAAATATTTTTTTAGGAAAATAATTTTAAAGAAGAAAAACTTTTTTTAAGATTTATTTCTTAGTTTCTCATTTTTTAAATTAAAATTAAATTTTATTCGATCCAATTTTTTTCCAAAATTTTTTTTACAAATTCCTGATAAAATATTTTTTTAGGAAAATAATTTTAAAGAAGAAAAACTTTTTTTAAAATTTATTTCTTAGTTTCTCATTTTTTAAATTAAAATTAAATTTTATTCGATCCAATTTTTTTCCAAAATTTTTTTTACAAATTCCTGATAAAATATTTTTTTAGGAAAATAATTTTAAAGAAGAAAAACTTTTTTTAAAATTTATTTCTTAGTTTCTCATTTTTTAAATTAAAATTAAATTTTATTCGATCCAATTTTTTTCCAAAATTTTTTTTACAAATTCCTGATAAAATATTTTTTTAGGAAAATAATTTTAAAGAAGAAAAACTTTTTTTAAGATTTATTTCTTAGTTTCTCATTTTTTAAATTAAAATTAAATTTTATTCGATCCAATTTTTTTCCAAAATTTTTTTTACAAATTCCTGATAAAATATTTTTTTAGGAAAATAATTTTAAAGAAGAAAAACTTTTTTTAAAATTTATTTCTTAGTTTCTCATTTTTTAAATTAAAATTAAATTTTATTCGATCCAATTTTTTTCCAAAATTTTTTTTACAAATTCCTGATAAAATATTTTTTTAGGAAAATAATTTTAAAGAAGAAAAACTTTTTTTAAAATTTATTTCTTAGTTTCTCATTTTTTAAATTAAAATTAAATTTTATTCGATCCAATTTTTTTCCAAAATTTTTTTTACAAATTCCTGATAAAATATTTTTTTAGGAAAATAATTTTAAAGAAGAAAAACTTTTTTTAAAATTTATTTCTTAGTTTCTCATTTTTTAAATTAAAATTAAATTTTATTCGATCCAATTTTTTTCCAAAATTTTTTTTACAAATTCCTGATAAAATATTTTTTTAGGAAAATAATTTTAAAGAAGAAAAACTTTTTTTAAGATTTATTTCTTAGTTTCTCATTTTTTAAATTAAAATTAAATTTTATTCGATCCAATTTTTTTCCAAAATTTTTTTTACAAATTCCTGATAAAATATTTTTTTAGGAAAATAATTTTAAAGAAGAAAAACTTTTTTTAAAATTTATTTCTTAGTTTCTCATTTTTTAAATTAAAATTAAATTTTATTCGATCCAATTTTTTTCCAAAATTTTTTTTACAAATTCCTGATAAAATATTTTTTTAGGAAAATAATTTTAAAGAAGAAAAACTTTTTTTAAGATTTATTTCTTAGTTTCTCATTTTTTAAATTAAAATTAAATTTTATTCGATCCAATTTTTTTCCAAAATTTTTTTTACAAATTCCTGATAAAATATTTTTTTAGGAAAATAATTTTAAAGAAGAAAAACTTTTTTTAAAATTTATTTCTTAGTTTCTCATTTTTTAAATTAAAATTAAATTTTATTCGATCCAATTTTTTTCCAAAATTTTTTTTACAAATTCCTGATAAAATATTTTTTTAGGAAAATAATTTTAAAGAAGAAAAACTTTTTTTAAAATTTATTTCTTAGTTTCTCATTTTTTAAATTAAAATTAAATTTTATTCGATCCAATTTTTTTCCAAAATTTTTTTTACAAATTCCTGATAAAATATTTTTTTAGGAAAATAATTTTAAAGAAGAAAAACTTTTTTTAAAATTTATTTCTTAGTTTCTCATTTTTTAAATTAAAATTAAATTTTATTCGATCCAATTTTTTTCCAAAATTTTTTTTACAAATTCCTGATAAAATATTTTTTTAGGAAAATAATTTTAAAGAAGAAAAACTTTTTTTAAGATTTATTTCTTAGTTTCTCATTTTTTAAATTAAAATTAAATTTTATTCGATCCAATTTTTTTCCAAAATTTTTTTTACAAATTCCTGATAAAATATTTTTTTAGGAAAATAATTTTAAAGAAGAAAAACTTTTTTTAAAATTTATTTCTTAGTTTCTCATTTTTTAAATTAAAATTAAATTTTATTCGATCCAATTTTTTTCCAAAATTTTTTTTACAAATTCCTGATAAAATATTTTTTTAGGAAAATAATTTTAAAGAAGAAAAACTTTTTTTAAAATTTATTTCTTAGTTTCTCATTTTTTAAATTAAAATTAAATTTTATTCGATCCAATTTTTTTCCAAAATTTTTTTTACAAATTCCTGATAAAATATTTTTTTAGGAAAATAATTTTAAAGAAGAAAAACTTTTTTTAAAATTTATTTCTTAGTTTCTCATTTTTTAAATTAAAATTAAATTTTATTCGATCCAATTTTTTTCCAAAATTTTTTTTACAAATTCCTGATAAAATATTTTTTTAGGAAAATAATTTTAAAGAAGAAAAACTTTTTTTAAAATTTATTTCTTAGTTTCTCATTTTTTAAATTAAAATTAAATTTTATTCGATCCAATTTTTTTCCAAAATTTTTTTTACAAATTCCTGATAAAATATTTTTTAGGAAAATAATTTTAAAGAATAAAATTTAATTTTAATTTAAAAAATGAGAAACTAAGAAATAAATTTTAAAAAAAGTTTTTCTTCTTTAAAATTATTTTCCTAAAAAAATATTTTATCAGGAATTTGTAAAAAAAATTTTGGAAAAAAATTGGATCGAATAAAATTTAATTTTAATTTAAAAAATGAGAAACTAAGAAATAAATCTTAAAAAAAGTTTTTCTTCTTTAAAATTATTTTCCTAAAAAAATATTTTATCAGGAATTTGTAAAAAAAATTTTGGAAAAAAATTGGATCGAATAAAATTTAATTTTAATTTAAAAAATGAGAAACTAAGAAATAAATTTTAAAAAAAGTTTTTCTTCTTTAAAATTATTTTCCTAAAAAATATTTTATCAGGAATTTGTAAAAAAAATTTTGGAAAAAAATTGGATCGAATAAAATTTAATTTTAATTTAAAAAATGAGAAACTAAGAAATAAATTTTAAAAAAAGTTTTTCTTCTTTAAAATTATTTTCCTAAAAAAATATTTTATCAGGAATTTGTAAAAAAAATTTTGGAAAAAAATTGGATCGAATAAAATTTAATTTTAATTTAAAAAATGAGAAACTAAGAAATAAATTTTAAAAAAAGTTTTTCTTCTTTAAAATTATTTTCCTAAAAAAATATTTTATCAGGAATTTGTAAAAAAAATTTTGGAAAAAAATTGGATCGAATAAAATTTAATTTTAATTTAAAAAATGAGAAACTAAGAAATAAATTTTAAAAAAAGTTTTTCTTCTTTAAAATTATTTTCCTAAAAAAATATTTTATCAGGAATTTGTAAAAAAAATTTTGGAAAAAAATTGGATCGAATAAAATTTAATTT